ACTGCAAGTACTCTCAGATCTGTACTTAGTGTCCTTTTTGTTGTTAGGGATGAGGGATTGATAAATACTCTGCCACATCCGGTCTGTGTTTATGTTTGATGTTTTTCTGTCTTGTATTGATCTGATGAGTCAAGCCTTTTTCAACTGATTTTTACAGTTTGTTTTTATGTTGTGCTGTTACATCACTGTCCCAGGTTAGGGGAGGGTTTAGCGCTCACAAACATGTTTAACCTCGCTACATTCTTTATGTGCCTGACCCAAGTCAGGAGCCTGTAGTACAGTGGTTGTCGTTGGTTCATGTATGTCATATTTGTTTTTTGTAAATTGTTTTGTTATCAATTAGGCCGTTAGTTTTCTGAATTGAATTATTTCATATTTTTCATGTCGGGGCCTTTTATAGCCGACTATATGGTATGAGTTTTTTTCATTGTTGAATGGCCATATGGTTGCCTATAATTATTTACATCCACTTTATCTGAAACTATGGTGGATAGTTGTCTCATTGGCAATCATACCTCATCTCCTTATTTTTAGGCAGTTAAGCTGTCTTATGCTACCACCCTAGATTTGTGTTCTTCCCACTGAATGGTGTAAAAAGTGCTATTGTTATTATCTAGCTGGCTAATATGTTATTAATAACTAATTGGGCACTTTTTTCATACTTTTAATTCTGGATACAAAAAATATGACCAGAAAAACCTTAAATGATTGTCGAACAACGAAATTTTTTTGATGTTGCACATAGGAAATAGTGCTCAATAGAAATTTGTATGTTGTTTATTTTCCCCTGTGCTTTTGGCTAAGATGTCAAAGAACAATTGTATGAAATATTTAATCACCGAAAATCTCTAAAAGACAAAGTCGTTTACATTTCCCAAATGGCAAAAGTTGTAGTAATATTGTTTGTCGGCAATAAGTATTACAGTAGTCTAAGTTGGCGGCAATTTCAACTTAGAAGACGAAATTTACGTACCTTTTAAATTTGGTGGATTCTGATGATAGAAAGGTAATTATTGTTAATCTTGATATTCTTTTTGTTTGAGATGAGTGTTAATAAATTTTGTATTCACATTTGAATTTCTTCCTTTTATATTATTCTGTTTTTCACATAAATGACCTTGTCAAGTAATGCACCAACAGATGGTGTTTACACTGTTGTTATTTATGAATGAAATAAAACCGGAAACCAAGAATTAGGTCTCACTAATTAGCGATAAGAAGATTGTAGAGACAATAAGCGACAAGAAGAAAAAAACTTAGCGACAGGAAGAATGAATTTAGAGACAAGAAAGTCTATACACTATTAAAAAAATAAACTTATAGAAAAGTCAATTAAGGATGTTCGCTCCTCTTGATTTGAGTTTTTGCCAGATATTCGGAATCCTCTGGTTTTAGCCATGTAATGCCATTATGAATTTTCCCCACTAACCTCTACTTTTCTTTCCATAATTTGATTACATATAGTCTAAAGTGTCATCTTTCAAAATCTTACATAATCCTTGTTATTCTTTCGTCATTTTTGAAAGAAAAAAGGTTCCAATGTTAGGTGTATTTCCCGCCAAATTTTCAATGGCTTATATCTCGAAAAAAAGTACACAGACCCTTCATTTTTTTCTGCTTTTTAGTGTCTTTATTTATAAACTATCAATTTATATAACAGTCTTTTAAAAAGCTTGTTATTTTGAAACAGAGTAGCGAACATCCTTAATTACAGTTGATTATTTTCTGTTTTTTAAAGTTTAAAATCATGTTACATTTAGCAGCCCCACGTACTTCTTGATGTTTCTTGTCGCTTCTTGTCTCTAATTAGTGAGACCTTGTAAATATGTCAAACTTGCAGAGAATGACAGTAGAATGTGATATGGATTTTAGACTCAGAAAGATGGTGTGATCATAGAAAGTCACACAAAAATGTAGAAAACCCATTCATATATAACTGTATACAGGTACGGATGTCTGAAAAATGTATAAAATCAGTGATAATATATAAATAGCAAATGTGAATTGGGAAAGATATGCGGATAGAAGAATTCGGTCTACATCATCTTGATCATCACATGAAGCCAGTGTCCAACTCTCAGGCACTTGTTTATATCCATGGGAAGATTTTGGAGCTCATAAAATACATAGATAGTGGATCTTCCCATGCTTAGAAACAAGTGCCTTAGGTACAACTTTGACATTTCAATGTTTATGTTTCAAACTTTTTTTATTTCTGGGCCCCAAAAAAATCTTCATTTATGGCTCATTAAAGAAGATATATCATTCAAGAAGTGTAAAGTCCAAGAATGTTTGACCAACCGTTTATTTATTCCAATTTTGATATAGATCTTGAGTAACATCATGGACTTGGAGGGGGGCGGGTCATTTACATTTACTAAAGGCAGGTCAATCAGACCTCACCTTTGATTCCTGCAATAGTAAGGCTTTGTCTGATTTGTGTCATAACTTGTGTACTGTAGAACTTAAATTGAACAAACTCAGTGTTCTCCACAGGGAAGCCAGTCAACTCACACTATTGCAAAGTGGTACCATCTAACTTATACCACTTAAAGTCAACTCAAATCAATATTAACTACTAAATTTTGGAATTCACAATATAATTCTGTCTGATAGACCTATCAGAGACCATGTGTCAACTTACAACAGAGGCAGACTAGAGCATACTATATCAAATGACATGTACATTGTATGTATAAAATTGAATGAAAGAAATGGAATTTAACACAATTTTATCTCTCTGACTCTCAAACTGCTCATCTTTTAAATTTGTCGAAAATCAAACTTTGATCTGACCCTAAAAACAGAATATCCCATAATGATTTCTTTTCAATTTCATTGACAAAACTTGTGTAAATATATTTTATCATGATTGTTTGTCTAAATAAACAATATAAATATTAGTATTTGTTTTTATTTCAGCTAGATTCCAATTCTTGGCTTTAATATCCTAGAAGTTACAAGACATACATGTACAATACATGATACTATCTAGTAACTGACATAATACTAGTCAATTAAGATTGGAGTCAAGTGCACCCGCACGAGCGGGGTTCCAACTCACAACCTCAGTGTTGACTGGCTAGTGATTACAGTAGTAACTACTTAAGACCACTCGCCCACCGAGTCCCCCAGGCTTTTTTGATGTTTTGAATATAGTTATACATGTATATCTACAGATATGATCAAAGTACATGTACTATGAAAATTTTTACCTGGTCTTATCATATGATGACTAGTCAGACAAATTTTGGTTCAGATTTCTGACAGGAATTTTTACAAAATTGCCAGGGGTTACATCACATGAATATTATTTGTCATGGAGTTTACTGTAATGGTCCAGCTATTTTTAGAGGCTGTCTAATGATACTTTCAGTACTATGACATGTCTGTGCAACTGTTACTATAAAATGTTGGAGATACATCGTATTATTGCACACTATTAATATATATACAAGTAGTAACCCAGGTATCAGTTATATAAAGATAGTTTGAATACATAATGATGACACAATGTGCAGATACATGAAATATGTTTTATAAAGTATGTAAGAAATGAAGAATATAAACATATTAAAAAAGACAGACAAAATATTTGTATGAAATTTGATGTAAATGTAATAAGTTGGACACTTAGAAGTACAATAATGTTAAAGAAAATTAAAAGCATTTCTAGCCCAACAACATAATCATTTTGTGTAATATGATCCATGCATGATAAACAATAAAGTTACACCACCTCACATTGTTCCCAGTATTATTAAATCAGTTTTTGTACGGAGTGACACCTGCTGATCTAACTAAAAATGCTAATATGGCTTATGAAAACTCTTAGTACATAGTGAAATTAAACTATACACCACTGTGGAAAACTTTAATTCTGATGACATTATTCCTGCATAAGTTAAATTCATTCATCAGTGTATTGAGAAGTTGATAGAAGTAAGCATCTGTATGTCACATACTACCTGTAACAATGAGCAAAACCCATACCGCATAGTATAAAGCTGTAAATGGCCTTGAAATGACAAATAACAATTCCAACTAGAAAACCAGCATCCTGATTTATGTACAAATCAATAATGAAAAACAAATATGATATACAGCAACAAATGACAACCACTGAATGACTTTGGACAGACACACATGTAATCTGGCAGGGTTAAACATGTTTACTGGAGCCAAACCTTCCCCTTACCTGGGACAGTGTACATACATCTTCTCAGACATTCAATCATCGAAAGGATACATATTTTAAAGTAATTTAGAAATGAATAATAAACGTTTGAAAACAAATGGTATATTGTTAGAGAAAAGTGTGTAGGATAGTGGAAATCAGTACAGCACATGACAAAAATATGAAACATGAGATATAACAAGTTGTGATAAACAATTTAAGCAACACTGCCACAGTTTTCATCATGTTTTTGATTAACTGACTATAGCACTTACAAGGCTTTGATTATATTTTATACTTCACTACAAGGAAGCTTATTTTTATTAAGGCAGCTCTGGGTAATTATCATGATGATCAACAATAATGTGGGTCAAATTAATTCAGACAATTTATCTTATTGTACTTCACATGAAAATGCCAAATTTTGATTGGTTAATACAAGGGAGACAATATTTTACTCTGTTTAATGGAATAGCAGGAGACAATTTTTTTTAATATCACCCAAATTATGAAAGCAAGCCAATATATATCACTGTATGGCCTTCAACAATGAGCAAAACCAATAATGCATAGCAAACTATAAAAGACCCTAACATGACAAAATGTAATAAGATTTAAAAGAGAAAACAAACTACATGAATTATGTACAAACAATAAATGAAAAACAAATATGATAGACATCAACCAACTACAACCACTAACTTACAGGTTCCAGACTTGTGACAGGCACATACAGAATGGTGTGGTTTTAAGAATTTTTACTAGCTTATATTTTAACAGCAATGTTCATTGTCATGCAATAAATGTTGTTTTGCGTGATTACCTTATTAGCTAATCTCTCCAATGTGTTAATCTTCTCCCTGGAATCTTCTTCATACTCTTTCTTGTCCTTAAGGAATGTAGATTTAACTTGTTGTATTGTGTCTGAATGTTTGGCTCTCATCTGCATTACCTCAGCTTCAAGACTTTTTATCTTGGACAATTGTTCATCTTGTAAATCCTTTATTTAATCAAAAGACATGGAATAATTTTTATTATGGTATAAAAAGACAATTTTAAACACAATTGATTGTTGAAAAAAGATAATATATAACACCTTATTTAAGTTTAAGTTTTTTTTTAATCCAAAGCATGTAATGTAATCAAAACTATTCTATAAATATCAGTAGATAAATAAAACAAGAGTGCACACGCTGAAATGTCTCGCTTTCTTTACTAACCATTGATATTATGTTGATAGTCCTAAATGAAAGCTTTACTACAACTATTACATAAACTTAACATGATCCAAGAAAATGAAGTCAAGGTCATGTAAATCAAACGAGAAATACATGTACACCTCACTATCATTCTATACACTAAATATAGTTGACCTATTGCTTATAGTTTCTAAGAAACAGACTTAACCAAGAAAATTAAACATTGACCAATGAATCGTGAAAATGAGGTTAAGGTCAGCTGAACCATGCCAGGCAGACATGAACAGCTTACAATCCTTCCATACAACAAATATAGTTCACCTATTGCTTATAGTTTAAGAAAAACAGACCGAAACACATAAACTTAACACTGAGCAATGAACCGTGAAAATGAGGTCAAGGTCAAATAAAACCTGCCAGACTGACATGTACATCATAAAATATTTCCATACACCAAATATAGTTGACTTATTAGTATATAGTATTAGAAAAAAAGACAAAAACTCAAAAACTTAACTTTGACCACTGAACCATGAAAATGAGGTCAAGGTCAGATGACACTTACCAGTTGGACATGTACACCTTACAATCCTTCTATACACCAAATATACTAGAGCTATTGCTTATAGTATCTGAGATATGGACTTGACCACCAAAACTTAACCTAAGTAAATGTTCACTGATCCATGAAATGAGGTCAAGGTCAAATGAAAACTGTCTGACGGGCATGAGGACCTTGCAAGGAACGCACATACCAAATATAGTTATCCTATTACTCATAATAAGAGAGAAATTAACATTACAAAAAATCTCAACTTTTTTTTCAAGTAGTCACTGGACCATGAAAATGAGGTCAAGGACAATGGACATGTGACAGATGGAAACTTCGTAACATAAGACATTTATATACAAAGTATGAAGCATCCAGGTCTTCCACCTTCTAAACTATAAAGCGAAACGAAAAATTCAGCATTTTTTCAATTGGTAAAGGGGCATCACTCTAGAATGGTAAAAGTGACACCACCAAAATTCAAACTTGATCTGTGTTTTGTGGTAATAAGCATTGTGAATAAGTTTCATAACATTTGATTGAGGCAAACTAAAGTTAGAGAACCGAAAATAATTTTGAGACGTACGGATGTACGAACGGATGGACGTACAGACGGACAATGGTAAAACCTAATGCCCCCTCCGCTACTGCGGATAACAAAGCTTTCTTATTTGGAGTTTCTTTGGGTTTTTTTAATTTATCTATTTTTTTGGTGATGAAAGATTATAAACAGACATTCTGAGAGTATTGCATGGCAATACATAGTTCCCTACCGGTTAAAAATTCATTGTACTGGATCAAAATGCTAACTTGATCTATAACTTGTCATAGTGTAAACTTTATAAAAAATATCAAATCAATATTTTCAAGCATGACAAAAAAAAAGTGTGAAAAACTGATTATTTTCTAAGTCCAAGGACCATAACTTTGCAAAATACTCATCTGCAACGAACAAAATTGAACCTTGATCTGTCACTTGTTATGTTTAAACTATATACCAGATATCAAATCAATATCTTCAAGCATAACAGAAAAAAGTGTGGAAAACTGATTATTTGAATGAATTTTCTAAGTCTAAGGACTATAACTCTGCATAAAAATCATCAGACCAGAACAAAATTCATATTTAATCTGTAGTTTGTCATGGTTAAACTATATATTAAATATTAAGTCAATATCTTCAAGCATGACGAAAAAAAAGTGCGGAAAACTGATTACTTGCGTGAATTTTTCGAAGTCCAAGGACCATAACTCTGCACAAATTCATCAGACCAGAACAAAATTCATACTTACACTATATACCAAACATCAAATCAATATCTTCAAGCATGAAGAAAAAAAGTGGAAAACTGATTTGCCGGATTATATTAAGATTCCAAAAATCATTATATTGAGATTCCAACAATCATTATATCGAGGTTTCCAAAAATCATTATCTTGAGATTTCAAAAATCATTATATTGAGATTCCAAAAATCATTATATTGAGATCCCAATAATCATTATATTGAGATCCCAAAAATCTGCAAGTTTAGACCTTCCATCCTGTATATATTATATTTATAAGGTACACCATCTACTTGCCACTATACATTATGTACTGTGTTACAACCCTAGATAAAGCAGACGAGGAAAGGCATTACATCGACCACCAAAAGCTATATTCTAATGTAGCCAAGGTGGTCGAGGGCGCTGGACATGGTGCAGGTGGTGTTGCCACCATGTCACAGAAGCAAGGGTTCGAATCCTGCTGAAGGAAGAACAAAAATTTGCTTATGCAAATTTAAAGATCTAACATTGTTGGGCTAAATTTGAGACAAATTATATTTATAAATATACACTTTCTCTCTTTTTTTTAACATATATTTTTAAAGCAGTGATAGTTTAGTGGTTCCTTTATAGATGTCTTATGTGTTCATACTTTTTTTTGTAAATTACAATTCTGCTGTTGTTTTTTTTTTGTCCTTTCTTTCACTTGTTGCTTATTAACCACATTTCTATAAGTGGCAATTCTCTGTTGGTTTTTTTTTCTAACTTTCTATCATTACTTATTACCTTATATTCTTGAAGCTGTGAAAGTTCTTCTGTTGTTTTCTTCAATGTATTTTCTTTCTCCATCAAAAGTTTTTGTAGTGCTTCCTTTTTCTCATTAAATTCTAGTTCCATGAGACTTTTCTCATCTTGTATGTCCTGAATCTCATGTTTGTAGTGGTCACTGAGTGTTATAATGGCCGTCTTTCTCATGGTTTCCTTTGTATCCATATAACTCATGTACTCATGCTATAAAATGTGATGCAACGTTAAGCAATCATCAATCAATCAATCATCCAAATATGTAGAGAAACACAAGTCTATTTTATGCAACAAAACAAATAATTCTAAGACCTATTTAGTATGACACTTTGACTATATTGTGTTGACTGTTAAATTTTGGAGTGATCACATACAAAAAATTAGACAAACTAAGAGGTTCATTTTGACCAAATAGAACAGTCAAAATCAGTGTTTTTCCAATATTTCTACAACTTTTCTTAATCTGTCAGAGTATTTGGTATAACATCTTAATGATTGTGAAAGTAAAATGTCTACCATGTACTATGATGTAGGTAAAAGAAGGATAATAAAGAAACTAAAGAAGGCCAGTGGTCGAAACATCTTAAAAAATGGTTTATTTACTACAATAAATTAAAGAGTAGATATGCTATAATTACGTACACACATTACAATTAAAACTGATTGTACTCAGATACATTGAAATGTTCATATTTTTCTCGTCATTTATCAAAGGTCATGAAATTGTATATTAATTATATTAGCAAGTAGGACATCAGACATGAATAAATATTTTAGTGTTTCATTGTTTCTCAAACGTAATTACATCTATCATTTCTTCTTTTTAAAGCATGATTATACCTGTATACACACTTACACTTTCCATTTTAACTCTGTTAGCTTCCTGCTGTAACCATTCATGTTCTTTACGCCTGACAGAGAATTAAGGAAAATTAAAGACGTACCAATCCTCTCCGTTTTGTTTAAGATAAACATCACATGGACAGAGATTTTCCTATCTCAACAATATTTTTTTTTTTTCAAGTTATCTTATTATGTAATGATATGATCTTTGAAATCATAATTCTAATGCAACTATTTTTTATCAATGGTTCTGATTGGATGATTTAGCGTACAATTCTCTATCTCCCTGTCTGTTACTAAGGGAAGCCGACATTTTGAATTCTGTAATGTATTGACATGTAATTTCTCCAATATTAAAAAATAAGCAAAAAAACTCACATTTTGCACCTAGAAATCTTCTTTTTATATAATTTTATCACATTCCGTGGCGGACAAGATCCAGAAAAAGCCTGGTGTTTACGTTTGACACCAGAAGCATACCAATGACGTCACCTAGTTTAGGTGCCAAAGAAGATAACATCATTTCATGGAATTTACATTAGATGAAAATTTTACACCGAAATAATGACTAAAATTGAAAGATTTGTTTGTTTTGCATTAGAATAGAGAGAACTGTATTGTATTTGCAGCTTTACTGATGTCCATTGGTATACGTGTAGTTTTACTGTCCCAAATATTCGTTTACCTGTCACCACTATAAGCATCACCAGGTAAACTCACTTTGCTATGTACAGTAAGACTACCTATGGAAGTCTGCAAAGCTTCAAATACAATACAGTTATCTCTTAAGTATGATTGAGGTGAAAAGACATTCACAATGACCTTTTCTTAAATTTTCGTGAAAGAGGTCAAGCAGTCTACTACCATTTTCTCCCTTTCAGTTTGTTAATTGACATTTGTGATGCACTGTGCACCAGCATGTATTTGCTTTAATCATGTATTAATTCCTGTCAAGTTTGAAGTTATCTAACATATATCTTCGTGTGCCCAGTAGCTGTCTATATGCTTGTATTGTTTCTGTAAAAATGTATCCATTGTCATAGAAATGTAATAAATTTTTCATATCAAGTTTTTAAAAAAATTCTTCAGTTCATGCTACAGTACAAATAATTGATACTTTGAGATTATATGTCTCCTGGTTTATCTAAAATTGACAATGAGTATAAAAATGTGTTAAGCATTGATTACGCAAAATAGAAGCCTCAGTTGATGACAAGACAATGCTAAACACAAAACATAATCTATAGCTCTTATATGTCAACAATGTTATGTTTTTTTCTATAGGTGTATTGTGCAGTGTCTAATTTATAGTATATCATATACTGGTTACAATAAGAAAGGATACAGTTCTTGTACTCTAGCTCTGTTTGTTTCCAGTTCATTTGTAACTTTTTCCAGTCTGAAAATAAAAACATATACATGTATAGTCATCGTTCATGACAACTAATTAATCATTTTAATCAAAACAATACTTTGGGATAATTATCTGTAGCCAAAGTACAATTTTTTGAATAAAAAAATAAATCATGAAAGACAAGAAAATTATGAAAATAACGATAGACAATGGCACACACTTAAACTAAGAACCCAACTCTTCATCAGTGCTTTATATAATAAGTAAGTATCAAGTGATTTAAAAATTTTAAAACAATGAGACAAAACTAAAAATTGTTATTTTTTTGGAAATTATGCATTTGCACCATGAAAGATGTTTACTTGAATAACTGACTGCTATTTATACTTTATACTTAGATCATTGTTCTCTTTGGGTCTTATAGCTCCTAATAGATTTACATATTTATCCATCCTTCAATTTAAAATATTGAGATTTGAGTGTTCCTGGTGAAGGATAATCCACAATCAGTATTGAAATGATTTATTACTGGACTGTTAGTCTCTAAGCTGCTGGTGACCTGTTGGTCTCTTAGCAGAGGGTTTCATTAGTTCAGTAGTCAGTGTCTTAGTATTGACATGATTTATTACTGGTTAAAATCCCTCATTGATAATTTAGGAGCTCATTAAGAAACTATTAATGTTCCAATGTCCTCATGCAAAATTTTGACCATAGATATAATTTGGCTATGCTTTTTTATAAGTCCCTTTTGGTCATAACAAATTTAAGTAAAAATGTATTTTTATGGACCAATCTAGAGTTGATTTTTATGAATGAGTTACATGAGGTCAATCGTTGTTAATGACATCATTGAACAATGGATAAATACTGTGACGTTATAACATTCGAAATATATACAGGAAGTGGTCTATACATTTCTGTCTTTCAAATGTTCAGATTTAGCAGTCTTGATAATGGTAAATCCCAAAAAGGAGATTTAGACGCACAAGTTCATGTATTTATTGTCATTTTGAATTCTAAACACTACCATAAAAGGACTTTATTTGGGAAATGACTGTGGTTAAACCACATAGAATCATTTGTGCCAATGTTTTGATTTTATAATCCATGACAGTAGCTATATTATATATATATATATAGACACAGGCACTTGTTTTCTATCCATGTCAAGATGAAGCCAGGTCCGTTCGCCCTAATACCTGTTCGCCTACTCGCTGGGTCCATTCACCCTGATTTTTTTTATTTTTATTGTTGTCTAGTTTGTTGAAAAATTTGCTGAATATATGTATTTTGCTGCAACCAAATACATAATTATTTTCCTTATATTTGCATAGTAGAATACTGGAATACAGTGTATTTATCTTTATTTATATTTGTTAACAATTTTAATAATTCTAGGCAGTCAATTTATGTAGTATAATAATTAATGAATTTATAAATCCTTTTCATGTTTTACAATTCGTACAACATTGTTTTTACTCATTCCAAGCTGAGTAGTTTATCAAAACAAAATGTTGTTTTTATTATTAATCCATTAAAGACAAGTGTTACAACAATCAGTGAGAATTATTATTATGAACAATTAATGATCCAAAACAAGCCATCAACTTTTAAATATTTCCATGTGTTTTCATGAATTTCGAGAAGTTATACCATATAAATATCTGAATAAGTTTATCAAAGTTTAATACCCTTAATATTAATATTTTTAAATAAAAGTAGGGATCGAGAACGAACCCAGGGGGAATGGACTCAAGGCGAACATGAACTCAGGGCAAACAGACCCCGTAGCTGTCAAGATCTACAATCCCTATATATTACGATATAGGGATAGTTGATCTTGCCATGGATAGAAAACAAGTGCCTGTCACAGTAGAGCACTGTAGACTCACTCTTGTTGTAATATGACTTCTTTCTCTGATGGTTCTGGAGTTCTGGGCTTTTCTTGTCCTTCTCCTGCCCCATCATCTTTGTCTCCTTTTCCACCCTTCTTTCCTTTCTTTCCTTTTCCCTTTTTACCTTTCTTGGGTGGCATGATTTAGATATTTTTTTAAACTTTATGAAATGGCGTCACTGGTGACTACGGTAACGAAGAACTAGCTAAAATAACTATTCCGGTTCCGATTTTTGATAATTATCATCCTTCATAAATTGCACTAAAATCAACTTAAAATATTATAAATTTTAAGACAATTCATACATAAAAATTGAAGATTTGATAAATTTAAATATTTTGACGTTATTTGAGTTGACAATGTATAAGAATTTTAAGAACGGGATTGAGATATTTAATTTTTATTTCGGAACAAATATGTCTGCGCCCATGGAAAATATTGCGGGAGAATTGAAAGTAGAAATATCTGAAAATATTCCAGAAGAATTAGATTTGACATCCCCGAATTTGAATCCCCTGAAGGCACTGTACTCCGAAACTATATATTTGCCACATAAGAATCCAACGACATTCAATAATCTAGCAGAATATGAAAATGTTGTTATCAAAGGAAATGTCACTGCTAATAGAGGGAGGGGGAGAGGGAAAAAAATTCAAAAAGCCACCAGGACAACTTCCTTAAAACTGCATGCTGAAACAGAGGGTGTTAACACACAAGAATCCGATGAAAATACTGCTAGGTTGTTAGCACGTAGAAAGAAAATGAATCGCAACGTACTGACAAGAATGTCAGGTAAGACAGCTATATGGAACCGTAACTTTAATGCTTTTTGAGTTGTGCAGACCGTAGTCAGTGTATCATATGCAAATTATAAACCACAAGACAGTGTTCCATCTTGATTGTTTTCACAGGGCGGTCCGTCACCCTTTTTTGACTGACGCCCTGTGACCTTTTTTTCGGGAGTCCATGTCTTTAATGTTGTATTATTTTGATGAAAATACTATAATTCTACCTGTCTTCATGTTTCTGTCAAGTTAATGACCCTCAGCTAATTAACATTTACAGCAGTAGTTGTAAGTTGTGGTTACAGGTAATCGGCTTATCAACAACGGGTGATTATTCTGTTAATTAATAAGCCTCATATTGGACCATTATAATTATTTTTCCCAGCATAATTGGTCAGTCGACATTTTAATTTCAATATTTCTCAAAAGACCACAATTTGCAGTTTGTTTATCCATAAAATTGAGAATGGAAATGGGGAATGTGTCAAAGAGACAACAACCCGACCATAGAGCAGACAACAGCCGTAGGCCACCAATGGGTCTTCAATGCAGCGAGAAACTCCCGCACCCGGAGGCGTCCTTCAGCTGGCCCCTAAATATATGTTTTTGTAGTTTCGTCCATAAATTAAACAAAATTGTTTCCCCTGGACAGTTCGCATTTTAATTTCATAATTTCTCAAATGATCACTACATGTATTTGCAGCTCGTTTGACGTTACATAAACATATTTTCAACACATTTTATATAATTTTTCATCAAATTCTTTCAACAATTTCGATTATAAAAATAAAACTTTATTCAAAAATATTTTCACAAGTCAAACAGGTGCTTTCTTTATCATGTACTGCACATGCGTGAACATATTCTTATAAATTTAATAGACACTTAAACGTAAAATTAGAAATCATTTAGTATCAAATTAAACGAGAAGCAACTTAATTTAAATAAATGATAATTTCCTGCCTTTTTGTTTAACACAAACCAATCCGTAAATGAATCCCAGATTTATTCTAAATTTGTTATCCTCTTGTCACTTCCTGTTTTCATTTCGTTTAAAAATCGAAAGTAAACGTGAATAAAATTGAGAATGGAAATGGTGAATGTGTCAAAGAGCAGAAAACAGCCCAAGGCCACCAATGGGTCTTCAACATAGCAGGAAATCAGTGATCTATTCTTGATAAATTGAATCGTTCCAAGTTTATAAAAATTAATTCCAAATATTGATATAAACGTTTTTTACAGGGATAATGATTATGCAGTGAAATAGTCAATACTCTGTACGTATGTGCCTGTCCCAAGTCAGGAGCCTATAATTCAGTGGTTGTCGTTTGTTTATGTGTTACATATTTGTTTTTCGTTCATTTTTTGTACATAAATTAGGCCGTTAATTTTCTCGTTTGAATTGTTTAACATTGTCATTTCAGGGCCTTTTATAGCTGACAGTGCAGTATTTTGTTGATCAGGAATGTCCCTTGAAAATAACTGAAGTGAAATTGTGAACTAGATTTCTGGATCCTTGTTCTAGTCTTCATATCACATCAGTCAAATCTTGCAATAACTGCCTACATTTGTAGCATGCCTAAGGCCTTCAAAGATCCTGGTCCTTGAAGGACTTGGGCATATGTATAGCTACAAATGTAGTAATATATGTACTTAGTCCCTTACTGTTACCCCAAATAAGGATGATTTTTATCTCGGGTAAAAGTGAATAAATGTTTTACCAGTCAAGGGTGTAACTTGAATAAGTTATTAGAGAAAAATAACATACATGTGTTATTACGGATACTTTCTCTTAATCTGTAGTAACATATGTTTGTTATCAGTTAAATGTACCATAAAAATTTTTATTTTCAGTGGGCACTTGGGAATTCTTGAAACTTGCGCAGTAACTTAATACCTAACCTTGAAAACTAATTTTCCAATTCAATTAATACATTTTTGATCAACCTTGGTAAATCAATGAGACAAGGCTTTTAAGTGATAACTTAGCTGTAATAACAAGGCTTAGTTATTACAGGCATTTAACTTATTACATGAGACACTTGGGAATGACTAGGAAGCTTGCGCAGAACCTCATTACATGCTCTTATCATTATTTATTACAATAAAATAAAATACATTGTGATATATGTAGGAGAAAAGGCTTTGAAGAGATGTAGAGAAGCTGTAATAACACCCTTTAGTTATTACAGGCATATTTTTTCTGTAATAACATGGGTGTGTTATGCATGATTGGCAAACTATGGGCTGTTATATCTTTCTAAAGTTTAATATACATAAAGACAATTATAATATCAATAGAACTAGTACACAATTTAACAAAATAAAGGATGTATAATGCCCCTTTGAAACATGTAACATACATATGTTATCACAGATTTTTGATTTTTTAGCCCTCAATAACAAATGTATGTTATTTTTCTGTAATAACTTATTTAAGTTAGACCCTTGACTGTTTACTGACAATTGAAATTTTACAATTGGGTGAAACATGTCCGTTAATTGTATCTAATATATAAATATTTTACCTGCGAAGACAGGTAATTTTAAAACCATGGGAGATGAATTTTGATTTCACAGCTGGGTGCCCAAGATACACGAATGCTTTGTTTATTATAGTTAACCTTTATCAGGGTGTGGATGGGGGTTTACAAAATAGAGAATAATTGGCAAAAAAAATAAGGAATAGAGAAAAATGGATAAAAAAAATTAAGAATACAGAAATGAAGGACTCCATCAAGACCCTGCTTTATTTCATACCTGTAAAACAGGTAGTTTCAAAAGCATGCGAGATGGATTTTGATTTCATAGCTGGGTGCCCAGATACACGAAGGCTCTGTTTATTGTAGTAAATATAAAGTAGCAATATAGCATCACATTACCATGATGCTAAAAGGCCCTGGGGAGAACACTGAAATATTGTTAGTGCACTTGTGGATTTGCTGTGAATATGATTAACATACATGCTGATTATAAAAATGTCATCATCTGAATATTTTCTTTGAATTTTTTAGGTTTTTAATCAATGCGTGTTTCAATTTAAACAGTTATTTATCAAAAATTCGTAAGGGTTCTGCGGAACCCAGTGTCTCGCCTACTTTTGCTGCTAGTCACAGGCTCAACAAAAATTTTCTTATAGATACTAATTTTTGATTGTAAGAAGCTTCTGTTCAAGTTTGGTAAAAATCCAGAATGGTTTATGAATCTAATAAATGTTTTAAAAACTTTAACTACAGACTGTTTGTAATGTTAACTGGAGGAAAAACTAAGTCCATTTATAAGTAATATACTGAAAAAACAGGAAATATATTTTTACATAATTTCCTTCTAGATACTAGCTTTTGATCATAAACAAGCTTCTGCATGTCCAAGTTTGGTACAAATCCAGGATATTTTAAGAAAGTGATCAAAATTTTTAAAACTTTTAATCACATAGGGAATGTAATGTTAACTGGCAGAAAAACTAAGTCCATTTATAAGTAATATACGAAAAAACAGGAAATATATTTTTACAAAATTTCCTTCTAGATACTAGTTTTTCATCCTAAACAAGCTTCTGTCCAAGTTTGGTACAAATCCAGGATAGTTTAAGAAAATTATTAACATTTTAAAACTTTAACCACAGTGTGAATGTAATGTGTACTGGCAGAAAAACTAAGTCCATTTATAAGTAAAATACGGAAAAACAGGATTTCTTTTTTACAAATTTACTTCTGGATACTATCTTATGATCATAAACAAGCTTCTGTCCAAGTTTGGTAGAAATCCAGGATAGTTTAAGAAAGTTATTACCATTTCAAAAACTTTAACCACAGAGTGAATATTTGTGGACGACGATGTCGACAGAATGTAGGATCGCTATGTCTCGCTTTTGCGACAAAAGTAGCAGGCTCGACAAAAATGAAAAAAAAGTTTTGCCTCAGTAATTCTCTATTCCGTTTTATTTTTTAATGTTTTTTACATATCCCAAAAAAGATTTGGTAATTATGCAAGAATCTGAAAGTTAAAAAAATTTGAAAAAAATTAAATCCAAAGTTTTCCCCTGCGTGATTTTTATTTGTTAACCAATTCGTTCTGAGCCTTCCGTTTGATCCCATTTTTTTTCTCTTTTATTTCAGTCTATGCATATTCTGTTAATGAAGAAGAGAGGTTTTTTCCCTAAATCTTTTTTATTAAGAAATAATTGAATGAGGATGTTCTTTTGGTATGGTAATCGATATACATTGCCGCGATTGTGACAGTGCCTATTTTTTCGGTTTCTGTGGTCATTTAAGAACAAAGCAAAGCCTAATCAAGATAAAAAGTATGCTTTCTAAATAGTCTTTTTTTTCATTTCCTTCTCGCAATATATGCAATATATGTACCAGGGTCTTCCCATGATATTCCCGTGGACAAAAGACACGTCACATTAAAAATAAAATGTAAAGTATGTTTCTCATATGAAATATAAAGATACTATACTGTTTTGCACAAATCTTTTGTTTAAATAGAAATAAGAAGATGTGGTATGAGTGCCAATGAGACAACTCTCCATCCAAGTCACAATGTGTAAAAAGTAAACAATTATAGGTCAAAGTATGGCCTTTAGTTAACACAGAGCCTTGGCTCACACCGAACAGCAAGCTATAACATTAATAAAGGGCCCCAAAATTTTTACAAAATAAATAAATTTGTTGTTCATAGTCAAGAACAGCAGGGAAAATTTATCTTCATACTAAATACTTATCATGCTTATCAAAGGTGGTGCATATTAAAAATAGTGAGACGAGATATAACACAAAATAAGTAAGCATTGAATAACAAAAATGCATTACAAATTGTGTAACAGGTAAAATTAACATGAAAGTACGATTTGAGAGTACTCGCAGTTACTGAAGCTAGTTAAAAGCCAAAAACAATTAATAATAAAAAATCATGCATCAGAGACTAAAAGACCACATTTAAAACAAAATGCTTAAAACAAGAGTTATTGCCTCAAACCAAATCAACCTTTGTGACAGGAAATAT